ACTGTGATCCTTTTGTTAACAGTATTTTTCCTTGGTAACACCATAGACAATATAATTCCTTTGTTTATACTGGTTGTTAGATCATATGGTTCTACACTTTTAATCATAAGAATATTCCGTAATTCGGCATGCTTGCGATTGATGGCTTACTAACATACAATATGATTGTAATGGTAAAACAAAAAAACAAAATGTTTTGTTTTGTTTTGAATCAGATAATCAAAACCAGTTCTCACAGTGAAATCTGTCAGGAGTTCTCAGCAGTTCTCAGCTCACAGTCTCTAGTCTGCGAGAGAGCTGGACCTGAGTAACAACGGCCTGCCAGGCTTCAGGGTGAAGCTGCTCTCTGCTTGAATAAAGAGTTCACACTGTACACTGGAGACTTTAGGTTAAGATCACACTGCAATGCTTTTGTGTATGCTGTATTTCCCAGTTGGTAAAACAAACATATGACAGCTAAATTACATATTTGCTGTAAATTCAGTGAATAAATGACCACATCATGACAAATCTTATTACATTTTCAATTATATACTCGACAAATAAAGGTATTTATTCATATTTGATTATTTTCCTCCATTTACTTAGGCCTTTGTGCGAAAATTAATTAAGCATGTAAAAAAATATATATTATTGTTGTTTCAGTGTCTGCCGCATAAGAATTGACTTGGGCGGGTCACCTATTTTAACGTCCAGTGACTAATTTAACATAGAAAAACAGAGAGAGAGACACGAGACAAAAGTGTTATCCAGTACTCAGAGATGGTGATATTGTACAAGCACAGACCAGGTAAAGTATTCGGTACCGTGTTGGTTTTACATTATAAAGTTTCCACTGGCTTATTAACAACAAGCCTCAGCTGCTTTTATGAAAACAGAACAGAATTCTGGCGAAGAGGTGAGCAGATTAAAGTACTTAAGGAATAAATACTAGTGTATTGCATTTGAGTGTGATTTGTGATGCAACAAAAAAAATTATGCAAAATATTAAACAGCAGGCGCTTTTCTATTGTCACAATATATATCGCCATATCATGACAGACATGTATTCCTTTGGTTTCTACTGTGTTGTTGATCATATGTCTGCACTTTGAAACATGAGAATATTCCACAAATTCTCTTGCTTGCTGATTGATTACTAAACATAAATGGGATGTAATGGTAAACAAAACTAAAACAAAAGATGTTATTATTTTATTTTTATTATCAGGTTAAATCAAACCAGTCTCGCAGAGAAATGCGCTGTCAGATTTTTCAGCAGTTCTCACTTCCCAGTCCTTTCTAGTTGACGAGAGGTTGGAACCTGAGTGACAACAACCTGCAGGATTCAGGAGTGAAGCTGCTCTCTGCTGGACTGAAGAGAACACAATGTAGACTGGAGAGTCTCAGGTCAGATTATACTGATGCTTTTGTGTAACACTGAGTTGTACTTCAAACATGAGATGCTTTATAGCAGGGGTTCTCAACCTTTGTAGATGTGGGGGCAGAAACCAAGCAAAGAGTCATTTACCCGACATGTCTAAAACATACACTGGAGATTCTCAGGTCAGGATTAAGTTTTTAAACTGTGTAGATTTTTATTAAAAATAATACAGTAACAATTTCCCCCCCAAAAAAACTGAATTCTGCTGTTGTTCATAGTGACAGACCCACAGACAATGATCACATGACTTTGCTCATCCCCTCAGCTCTTAAACCGTGGAGGAGTCTTTCTGCTCATTATGTTTTTGTACTACCAAAAATGATAGTTTTGATTCATTCTCACCGCTCTCATCAGAGCCTTTTTCAGCAGCAGCAGGACGCTGTTTTCATTAAACAAGCTCTGATGGACCCACTGTACACTACCTGCCCAGCAGCAGACAGGCACAGTTAGACCGTAGTCGGTGAACATAGTGGAACATTTAGCAGCTAAAGAGCCACTTATTTCTCTCAAGAGCTGGTGGAGACTTATCCCCTTTGTTAACCTCAGCACTCTGTATAATACTCAGTTCAGTTAGTTTGCCAGCGCAGCCAACTTTTAAGGAACATTAAGTAACAACGTTAATCCAGTGTTTAACATTTAGGAGGATCTATTGTAAGAACTGTGATATAATATTTTATAGGTATGCTTTATCTACAGAGGGTGCAAGTCCTCTCCTACGGAGTCCGCCATATTGAGCCACCATGTTTCTACAGTGGCCCAGAACAGACAAACTAAATACTGGTTCTAAATAGGGACTCTTGCAATTTCCTCAAGTTTCACAGCCAACATAGTTTCTCCTACATGCTTGGAAGGGTGAGGGGTATTCTGTTGGTTGCAATATGCAATATCACTGCTAGATGTTACTAAATCCTACAAACCTATCCTTTGAATTAAGTTTTTTCAACTGCTCTTTTTTAGTCTTCTTCTTCACTATGCTAGCTTTAGCAGGCCATCACAGCAGAACGCAAATGTTTGCTGAAACAGTCTTGAGTTTTACATCTTGTTGAGCTGCTCCTGAGTAGTCAGAAATATATTAATACAGATTTGTGTGTGTGTGTGT